AGGCATCTCATTCCAGGCAGGGGGAATCTGCTTCAAATATTCACACCCCAACTCCTGCATTTCACGCCCAGCTGGGAGGGATTGTCCCTGGCTTGTGCCTGTTTCCCCAATGGCAGTGGGCCTGCACCACTCTAACTGGTGTCCGTCTCCTTCCACGCAGATGGGGAAGGGCTCCTTCAAATACGCCTGGGTGCTGGATAAACTGAAGGCTGAGCGGGAGCGTGGGATCACCATCGACATCTCCCTGTGGAAGTTCGAGACCACCAAGTACTACATCACCATCATCGATGCCCCTGGCCACCGAGACTTCATCAAGAACATGATCACTGGCACCTCTCAGGTATGGGCTGGGGTAGGCAAACCCCTGTGAAGAGTTTGATTATACTGGGTTTGCAGCTATGCTTTGTGGCATCCCAATAAAGCCATAATTTAACTGCAAACTAGTCTTGTGACCTTAGCATTGCAAGGAATAACATTGCCACTAGATGCATTGGGCTGTAGGTGTGGGGTGGTGGTGAGGCTTTTAGGCCTATATCGGGAAGGGCTGCCAGTCCCTCCTGAGGGAAACTGGGTTTTTGGGGGGAGAGGATCTCCTTTATCTGTAGGATACCTAGGTCTGTCACATCCCTACTGGTCCCCTTGTTCCCAGTATGAAATTGTTCTCATGGCTCATTTCCCTCTCCAGGCTGACTGTGCGGTGCTGATTGTGGCGGCCGGGGTGGGAGAGTTTGAAGCTGGCATCTCTAAGAACGGGCAGACCCGGGAGCATGCCCTGCTGGCCTACACGCTGGGGGTGAAGCAGCTCATTGTTGGGGTGAACAAGATGGACTCCACAGAGCCCCCTTACAGCGGCAAGCGCTACCAGGAGATCACCAAGGAAGTGAGCACCTACATCAAGAAGATCGGCTACAACCCAGCCTCTGTGGCATTCGTGCCCATCTCTGGCTGGCATGGGGACAACATGCTGGAGGCCAGCGCCAATGTGAGTAGCCTACCTGTTTCTACATGGCCCCTCTAGTAGAGAGGTGTGGAGACTTCTGGGGGGGATGGGGCAGGCATTGGCTTACCGGTGGTGAGAGTGGGTGGTTTGTAAACTGAAATGAGTTCAGCTTAAAGTTACTACTGCTGGGCTCCGGATTGCAGTAAGACACCGGCCCTCTGAGCTTCTCTAAATTGGACTGTCATTATCTCACTGCCTTGAGCTAGGATTTCACTTAAAAGTGCAGGCCCCCTACATGGCTTGATGGAGGCTAAGTTTAGATCTTTCTTGTTCGTTCCCACACATCTCAAGGAATACACCTCTGCTTAGTTTAAACTTTTTTGGCGGGAGGAAAGAGAATCTGTAGGAACTGGAGTACTTGGGACCTGTTGCCAAGTTCACCCAAGCTCTGCAGGTGAATAGTCAGCTGTCAATTACAATAATCTCCTCTTCTCCCCCCCCCCCCATACATACCTTGCAGATGCCTTGGTTCAAAGGCTGGAGCATTATGAGGAAGGAAGGCAACGTTTCTGGTACAACACTGCTGGAAGCCCTGGATTCCATTATCCCTCCTTCCCGCCCCATCAACAAACCCCTCCGCCTGCCCCTGCAGGATGTCTACAAGATCGGCGGTGAGTGGGGGAGCGTTCCCCAGCAGGGCTGGGACAATAGAACTCTTCCCAAAAAGGAACGTGTAAAATGGTGGCGGCCATTTCAGGTGATGTAATTCCACCTAAACTGCAGCTCACTTGGACCGGGGACACCTCCCTACCGAATGTCTGGGATGGAGACTCAGTCACACCGTCTCTTGGCAATGCTGGGCTGACAAGATTGCTGTATTTCCCCTTAATGGCCAAAAGGCTGAATAGGGCCTCTGGACCGAGGATGCTGGAGCAAAGAGCTGGTGATCTCTGCTTGTTGCATCTCCGCTTCCTTCCTCTTCCCCAGTAACCTTGTTTTAGCTCATTAGCACCAAACTGACCAGTACGTGTCTCCCCAGGTATTGGAACGGTCCCAGTGGGCCGTGTGGAGACTGGCTTCATGAAGGCTGGCATGGTTGTGACTTTTGCCCCCGCCAACGTCACCACGGAGGTGAAGTCAGTAGAAATGCACCACGAGGCTCTGGCAGAGGCACTGCCGGGTGACAACGTTGGGTTCAACGTGAAGAACGTGTCTGTGAAAGACATCCGGCGTGGGAACGTGGCCGGAGACAGCAAGAACGACCCTCCCATGGAGGCTGGCAGCTTCACCTCTCAGGTTAATGATTAGGGATCTGTAAAGTCCCTATTGCTGGCCACCAGTCTCCTTGAAATGTGAATAGTCACTTGATTTTTAATTCTCCTCCCCCAACCCCCCCTTCTTTCTCTGTAGGTCATCATCCTGAACCACCCTGGCCAGATAGCCACTGGCTACTCCCCAGTGCTGGATTGCCACACTGCTCACATTGCCTGCAAGTTTGCGGAGCTGAAGGAGAAGATCGACCGCAGGTCTGGCAAGAAGCTGGAGGACAATCCCAAGGCACTGAAGTCTGGGGATGCTGCCATTGTGCAGATGATTCCTGGCAAACCCATGTGTGTGGAGAGCTTCTCGGAGTACCCACCTCTTGGTAAGATTTCATATTCCTTGTATTGGTCCAAGTCTGGCTCTTAATGAATGTCTGTTAGAACATGTCCTAACACTGCAACTCTGTTTGAAGAAGACTAATGCTAGGATTCAGCTTTTAGATAGCTGCTCTCCATAGCAACAGGAGGTAAACTTATATCTACCCCTTCACTTGCTTGAGTAATAAAATGCTTCTGCGAGGCATTAGTCCACAAACCAAACTCCTGTCACTAGCCTAGAAACTCCTCCCAATATCCGGGAAGTCTCCTACTCTGTCTTTGTCTTGGTCTAACGGGTGTTCCTTCTCCGGCAGGTCGCTTTGCTGTTCGTGACATGAGGCAGACGGTGGCTGTGGGGGTGATCAAGGCTGTTGAGAAGAAGGCTGGTGGAACTGCCAAGGTCACCAAGTCAGCAGTGAAGGCCAGTAAGAAGTGAATTCTCCTCCAATGTCGCTGCGTGCCAGCGTGCTCAGAGGCACCAACAGTGGGTGCCCAGCCCCCCCCCACTCACAGATCTGTGTCTGGACTCACTTATCCAGGACTGGCTCCTGAGCAGAAAAACACACTGGAAGAGCTTCCGAAGGAAAGGAAGCTGAGAGGACTCTTTTTCTCTTGTTTATTGGGCTGCACATGTGGGGTGAAATCCCCCCCCCCCCCTTGACTTGCTCACAGGTGGTGTGAATAAATGAGGATTTCTGCTTCAGTGGTTTGGTCTAATTCAGCTGAGTCCCTCTCTGCATGCAGAGTGTAATGTAAGGAGTAAGCACTACGCTTGTCTTCAAAGCACCCTATCAATCTGGTTCTTGTGTCAACCAGATGGCTGACCACCAACTTTGCAATCTAATTTGTTCTAGTCCATTTTAAAGATTCAAACACAATTCACAACCTCTTAAGCAGGGAGACTGGAACTTGGGCTGCCAATGCCCTGGGACTGTCTACTATGTTTGATCATTAACTGGCCCAGGAGGGCCCCATTCTTGATTAGCCCTTAGCCCCTCTTCTCTTAACCAGTAAAGATATAAGGCTAAACTGACAGAGTGGGTGGCAGATGTCAAAACTCTTCAGCGAGATGCTAAGTGTGCCTGTTAGTTCTCTTAGAACTAAGCTGTTTCTCCAACTTATAGCTATTCCATAGCCTCTCAAGCATTATAAAAGTGCCTCTAACTTCCACAGAGAAATGAATGATGGGTAAGGCGTGGCATCAGTCTACAGCAGTGACCAAGACTGAGCCTCCCTGCAAAGAGTTTACATGGTTACAACCTCAAAGGAAAGAGTAACGTTTTAGTGACTTACTCAGGAAACCTAAGCTGCCACACTCTCTGGGAGTGAGTTACACTAACAGGTATACAGTTAAATAGCTCTATTTAAAAAAAACAAAACTTCAAGTATGATTCCTAGTGGGGTCAGGCCTAACACAGTGAGTGGCGAATGCAGTGCTGTCTGCTACCTAAGTTTCTAGACCAGCTGTTCCAGGAAGGGAGTTGGTAGAGGGCTGGGATACATACGCTCTTAGCTTCCCTCGAGGAACACCATAAGCTTTCGTGGGTAAGAACCTCACTTCTTCAGACTTGCATCTGAAGAAGTGAGGTTCTTACCCACGAAAGCTTATGCTCCCAGTACTTCTGTTAGTCTCAAAGGTGCCATAGGACCCTCTGTTGCTTCAGTCAGTTTAGTGGCAGGGCAAGGCATGGGCAGCTCCTCCAATAATGCTGTGGGTCAGTGGGCTGTGCTCTTTGAACATAAACTTTTGGGCTAAGATCATCAAAAGTGACTGTGGGGGCCTCTGTCTTCTGCGTGCTTAAGTTGGCTCGAGTCAAAGGGGACGGACTTCACGAAGTGCTGAAAATCTGGCTTTCCTGTGTCTCGAGTAGGACACGCAGCCTCTGGAGTCACTTGAAAATCTCGGCCCTGGGCTTTACTCTGTTCCCAGCTAAAAGTCCACATGTGCCAGGACACCAATGAGAGCGGATATTCCTCACTGGAGGGGCTAACTGGCCAGCTGACCGTTTCTGTGGCAGTAGAGGGGCTAGACAAGCATGGGGCTCAGGGGACAGTTAATTTTAAGCACTGGGCTTCAAAGAGTGCAGCGCTGCAGGTATTTGTGATTTTCACCCCATTAAGCTGTACAGGGCCCTCTCAGGCACTTGGCTCTGGCTAAGTGCCATCCCTCCTCTTTCTTAAAACTAAATTTCTCACAGCAGGGGAGGAGCAATTGAGTTAAGAATCCCCCCTGCCCCCACCCAGAGGCCATTTGCCTTCTTCCAGCACCCATGACTCTGGTAGGACCATTACCAGTCTCACAGTGGTTACAGGGTCTAATCGTCACACCTTTCCCTTAGGGGCCTGAGTTCTCAACCTGGGGGTGATGAGCAGCTTTCAGGGGGTCACAACCAGCCTCCTCTAGTGAGAGGGGAGGGGGAAGGCAGTGTCACTCAGGCTGGCATTTAATTCTCTGCCTCTTTAAAATGTGAAAGTTATTTTTGAAGCAATCCCTTCCTGCAGCAGCATGGTTTAGGGGGTATATTGTCCCTTGACACAGTGCCTGATCTAGGAGTTGTAGATACCTAGACTCCCAGGCCAGAAGAGATGATTGTGATCATCTAGTCTGACCTCCTGTGTACACAGGCCACAGAATTCCACCCAATGATTTTTTGCCTTGAGCCCATCATTTCTGTACAGGATTAGCAGGGACTGTCTCACACCACAATCAACACCCACAAGTGTCTCCTATAGCAATAGGACCTCCATTGGCTTTTACAAATGCCTCCTGAAAACACGGGGGTTGCATAAAGCACAAGGAGGTTGGTCCTGGTGGCCCTGGCTCCAGCTGCTTGTAGAGGTCTGACTTGCTGGCTCTCCTGTCAAAGCCATGTACGCAGAACTAGGATTGGAACAGCAGTAGGCACTAGAGGGTGGGATTGGGGGTGCAGTGACAGAAGATGGGAGGGGTCAGACTGCAATAGTAAGAGATGGTACAGATCAGGATAACGGGGGTATTGGAAGAGCTGGGTGCTGTGGGCCAGAAATGAATTGCATAGCTGGACGTGGGGCAGGAGTCTTTAGGTCAGGACTGGAGGGACAGTGGCAGAACCAAGTGAAAGTGGGGCTGGGGAGAAATTTGCACACCTACTAGTTTCCATTGTGCATCGAGATGGGCCAAGCCTTGGAGTTTAGAGACAGTTCTGATCTCCTGCAGAGGGTGGAGCTGGGGTGGGAACTGGCCAGACAACCAGCTAATAATAATATTACAACAGGGACAAATATTTGGATACTGGCTGGGAATCAGGACACTTATTCTATCAGGAATGGTTCAGTTCCATGTGACAGCCAGTCCCCCAAAAATCACACATCTCACACCAGGCAAGGATTATACATTTAACCTTTGCAGCCCTGTACATGGAACAAGCCCCTGCACTGGAGAAACACATTAGCTGGCTGCTTCAGCCACGGCAAGGTGATCAGCAGCGGGAAAGAGTTAACTGTTGAAATGGGGCTCTTTGCAGTCAGGCCCCATTGAGTTGAATGGGGCTGTTCACTTCACTGGGGGCGTGAACTCAAACATCAACAGCATCATTTAAAAGGTGCTATTGTTTTGTTTTCCGCTCCCAGCAAACTCAGTTACAGGCTGAGGGGACCTTCACAGCCCCAAGGGGGGAGAAAATCCTTCTTTCCTGAATTAAACTTCAGTTCTGCAAGCGACAGGGGGACTCCAGAGCCCCACAGGGAGACCCCGAATCCTTAGACATTTCTATGGGAATGGGATTGACATTGTGCAATCGCCCAGACAGCTATTTCTCTCATGATCCTAGGTCTGTTATTGGTTTTATGGTGGCACCTGGATGCCCTATCCAAGATCCTGATTTTTACTACTTGTTTACTTTGATTTATTGAAGTAAACACTGTGGGCCCATGTACCCAGTACATCCTACAACAACAACAACTAGATCCAGTGTCCAGGCACCATCCCAATCCCATAAAGCCAATGGACTATTTGCATGAATAAAGAGCTGGATCAGGCTCAGATCCTCTCAATGCAGGAGAGCAGGGAGGGCTGGATGCAGCCACATCCCCATTTGGAGGATGGCACTAAAATATGAATTTAACCACAACTCACTCGTGATGTGACTATAACTCCAAGTCTGGAGATGCCGCCTTCGTTCCGATGATCCCTGGCAAACCCATGTGTGTGGAGAGTTTCTCAGAGTACCCACCTCTTGGTAAAATCTCTTGATTACTTTCCCTTTTTAAAAACTTTAATACTAGTATTTGGTTGTAGGAATGCAAAGATTTCCTGTGTATAGTGCAGGGGGAAGGTAACCAGTAAGGGATCATTTCTCCATCTACTTCTGCAAATAACTTTTCAGACAGCCCCCTCAAGCCTCAAAGTTTCCATAGCATGGGTAGCAAAACACTTACTTCAAGCTGTTATTCCAACACTGCAGTCCGTGCATGACCTAGAACACCTGGCCAGTCTAATGGCGTTCCTCTTCTGGCAGGTCGCTTTGCTGTTTGTGACGTGAGGCAGACAAGGCTGTCAAGAAGGTTGGTGATCCTGCCGAGGTCACAAAGTCGGCAGTGAAGGCTACTAAGAAGTGAATTCTCCTGCTACTTCTCCACTTGCCAGCTTGCTCAGAGGTACCAACAACAGCGAGTGCCCAAAGCTGTCTGATCACAGCTCCGTCTGGACTCGCTTATCCAGGACTGGTTCATGAGCAGTAAAAAACACACTGGAAGAGCATCTACAGGGAATGGGACTTTCACTCTGGGGTTTGGGCTGGACGTGTGGGGTTTCCTGACCTTTTTGGTGTGAATAAAATATTTCCATGACAGTCTGTCTAACCATTTCTGGTGTAAATAAAATCTGAACTTTATTTCCAGGGCTCACATTCTAACGACAGAAACTGGAAGTCAGAATTCCAAGCCAGAGGGCTAACCATAAATTTGGCTGGAACTCCAGCAAAGGGATTGTAAAACTAAAAGAAACCTCAAAGCTCACTCATGCCCTGAGCAGTTTAGCAACCTACTCAAATGCCTCTATGGAGGGGGACAAGTGAAGACTTTGCATTCTCTTCTGATTTTTATTTTTTTTAAATTGACATTCCCAACTAGGTTTCAAAAAACAAAACCAGCTCTTTCGAAAAGGGAAATTCAGTCACTTACCCCAGTTTCAATCTAATTATAACTTCCCGATGAATCTTAAACTGCAGCTTTTGCTACAAGCCATCATTCAACTGTGCTGGATTAAGTAAATCTAGAAAAAGCAGAGATTAAGCTTCAAACCAGGTTTAAAGGCAATGTATGAGGCAGTGTTCTCAGAGTAAGGCACAGGTAAACGAGATACTCATTTTCTGCAGCGAGTATCAGCTAAATGAGCTAGGCCTTACCTCTTGACACAGACGGTCACATATTCTCCCTTCTAGGGGCAGGGTTATCAACATTTCTGCCTCCCCCTCCATCCACTCCAAATTGCAGGCAGCTAATCCAGGAGTGCTTCATTTAGCAGAAGACAGGCTCACGTAAGAGTCCCCTGGACAAGACTCACCATTGCAGAGCTCCCCTCCTGAGGTAGTGGGGCATCACAGCCACTTTGCCTTGATTTCCCCACAAGGTCTTTGGCCTTCTCCTGTTGTAGATGTGACCTGGCCTTCCTACCAGGCCCCTTTGGCCTCATCCAAAAACAACATCAAAAGAATCTTTGGCTCTTTATAGGTGGGGTCCCAGCAGCAACAGCCAATCTAACCCCAGCTCCTGGTCCACCTTCCAGCCAAGGGCCTCTGGCAGGCATCAGTCAGTTCCAGACCTCAGCTGCTAGGCTTCGTCCTTCTAAGTCCCTCCCACACCTGGCACAGGTGTAGCAGGGCTAACTGAAGAGGGCTGACTTGCCCCCCATCTCCGAGCAGTTAAAGGGGCATTCCCCCTGCTACAACCACTTGTAGCTACTACAGATCAGCTGGTATAATCATTGAACAAGGACCTAGCAGCTGTTATTCCAGTAGTGCTTAATGTCCTTAGGCAGGGCCTGCTAGATTGCAGAGGACCATCCAATTTAATACATGAATGCTCCTCGACTCCACCTCTTCCGCTGGATGGCCCATTATGGCTAGTCACACTCTAAAATACCTCACTTCTGTACATTCCCTATTAACCTGGCCAGAGCCTGAAGCCAAAGCCTTCACCCTCCCCCAGACTGGGGCTCAGGCACCCATATATACCTAATGCCTAATGATACCCCGCACTTTTCATCAACTGATCTCAAAGCACTCTACAGAGGAGGGTAGTGTCATTAGCCCCATTTTACAGATGGGGGAAACTGAGGCACAGAGAGGGACAGTAACTTCCCCAAGGTCACTCAGCAGGCCAGAGGCAGAGCTGGGAACAGAACCCAGGTCTGAGCTGCAAGCTGATTTATCCACTAGGACACACTACCTCCCAAATCTATTGCGCACACACATGCATTCCAGTGGTGCTTTGGGTCAAGCGAAGGCTGAGGAAGGATGTGAGAAAAGGGCACAGATTCAAGAGTTGAGTGTGCGGGTTGGGAAAACAAATGGCTCATGTTATTTGGGTATCCAGTGCTGGAACAAGAAATGGGATTTCTTGACTAATCTATGTTCACTTGGGTGTTTTCCACCTCCTGCCTTGGTTACATATATTCTTCTCCTGGCAGCATGCCTGGGCATTTCATTGGAGAGCAGTGTCCTCTCTAGCCCAGTCCTGGATAGTTCCACTGCCAAAGGTTACATAGAACAGCAGGCCAAAGAGATTTAGGGCCGCTGACACGAAGAAGACATTCCTCCAGCCAGTCAGGAGGTCCTGGGGGGGTACCAAACAAGGGGTAATTAGTATCTCCATTCCCTCTTATCGCCACAGGAGAGCACCTGGGGCTTGAACCCCAGCTTTCATTCAGCTAAAGACTTGCTGTACCAGTTCCCTGTCTAGCTGTAGATTTAACTCCTCAGATTCTGATTGGGAATTCCTTGCTTGCTACGCTGAACTCAAGCGGCTCTGTCATCACTGGGACCAAGCTGTCCCTATTGTCCAATTCTCCAGCAGTCTCCCCGCCCCCCGCCAGCTGTAAGTAGATCCAGGTTGGAAGCCCATGTCGGGAGGAGTCCCTACTTCTTGGATCATAAGAGCTTCTTCTCCATGACTTAGGTACTTGTTGGACACATTTGGCAATGTGGATGCTGCCTAGCACACGTGGGTTTCAAGAGCTTAGGCAGGGCTATGTTTTGATTCAGTGCAAAGAAACCATTCTTGGGCCAATCTGCTGTATTCAACTCCACTTTCTTTTCTGCCTATTCTTGTGTTAGGAGAAAGAGCTCCAATTCGGCCATCCAGAGAAGCCCTGAATTACCTGGCTGGTGAGGAACCCAACTGCAGTGGGAGCAATTATTCCTGAGACCGTTCCGAAGGTGTTTGTGACTCCCAGCAGAAACCCAGCGTATCTGGGGAGAAGGGAAGGGAAAATTTCCTGAGCAAGGCAAAGAGGGACTTGCAAGAAGAGAGAAAATTAGGTTTCAATTCCCTCTCCCCCAACCTCCTGGAGAGCTTCAAAGAGAGCAAGTGCCACCGGAATAAACTTGTTGTACACATAACAGAGTCCACCAGCTAGCAGTGGCTCCGCAGCTTGGTCCCTGCCTGCCCTCTCGACAGACAGTAAGAGCCTTTACCCACTGCTATCATTGGCTCTGAGCCTGCGCTGCTGTGCCTTGGTTTTGCCTGTCTGGCTTCAGATGCCACCAGCTGCAGAAGATCCGGGAGAGAAGAAGCAAAAGGCAGCTGAAGTAGTTGAGGGCTGGGGTGATGGACATGATATGGGCCAACATATTGGGCCCTGGAGCCAATCGGAGCAGGAGATAGAAGGAAGGCCTGGTGGTCTCACCTGGGAGCAATGTCGATCTGGTTAATGTTGAAGCCAGCCCCACACATGCTGATTACTGTCATGGACAATGTCAGAAAGACCACAGCTGCTGTGTAATCGCAGCCGACGTAGGACACGGCCACCAGGGAGATGGCTGGGAGCAACATCCCTAAGGAGAGAAGGGGACGTGGGTTATGTGGCTGACCGGGCGAAGGTTTGTTGAAAGAACCTGGAGGCAGGAGGCACCTGTCCTTACCCAGCACCGAGAAGAGCTTCCGAACCGTTGCTGTGCTGAACATGTGCTTGGACAGGAGGAAGTCTGCCAACAGCCCCGACACGATGGTACCCAGCCAGTTCCCAACGTAAGGAAGTGCAGAGAGAAGCCCATTCTGTAGAGAGAAGGTAAGAGACTCGCCATTCTGCACAGAGCAGCGAGAGGGACCCCACCACCACCAGATCTGGCTGGATGTGCTCAGAGGGACCGTAGGGACTGCCAGACTGGATTGGACCTGAGGTTCATCTAGCCCCGTATCCTGTCTCTGACAGTGGCTAGCATCAACCGGCTGCTTTGGCGGAAGGTGAAAGAAACCTCCCCACCCCTAGTAGTCGGAAACTGGCCTAAGCCCTGAAGCCTGAGGTTTAACAGTCCTTCCGGAATTGGTTAGCATCAATTTTTATCCCTCTGGATGGCCCCATTCAGGAGACAGAGCGGCCCGGCGGTGAGTGATGGGGCACCACAGCAGAGCTCACCTCTCTGATGTCAAAGTGGAGCACGTCACTCATGTACGTTGGCATTGACGTCAGCAGCGTGTAGAACAGCCAGTCATTGCAGAAATAGGCGACTGCGATGGCCCAAAGAGGCAGTGATTTCATCATGGCCAGAAGTGGAAGGGAGCGTCCGTGAGAGCTGCCCTTGAAGGAAAGGCACCAGTTAGTACCCCTTTTGCGGGCTCCTTCTCCTCCTGGCTCTATCAATGTCCCATAGGCAGGTGGTCTAGCCTCTCCCTGGCCTCACCACCTCCTCCCAGAGTTTTAGCTGCCTGCTCTGTGTTGACTCCTGGATCCCGCTGTAACCCCTCAACTCTCCCAGTTGTGTAGTCTCACATCTGACATTTCCCAGACCTGCCACAGACACCTCAAATCCAACAGGCCGAGCTCACGTCAGAGCGCTAGGCTCCAGGTGCAGTCGGTAGAGTTGTACAGGCTAATGTCAGGGCTGAATTTTGCTCAATATATCAAAACTTCTCGTCCTTCCTCTTAGGTCCATTCCCCTCCTGTGACGGTTCGTGATCCAATTAATCCTGTGGCTCCCTTGACCCTCTCTGCCCTCTTCTCCCCTCACATCCAGCCCTGATAAATCCTTGTGCCTTTTCCTCAAGGATGCAATCTTCCCTCTTCATCCTTGCAGCTGATGCTCTATCCATGCCTTGGGCATCTCTCAGCTCACCTGTGCACACTCCGGCACTCAGTCCAAAACACCACAGCTTAGGGAACCTTCTTCTCCTACAGTTCTTACCATCACCCTCCTCCTCAGACCCCTCTGCCTCAAATTCAAGCTCCTTGCCCTCACCTCAGACTTCCCGCACAACCCAGCCCTGGCCTACATCTCCCATTGCCTCTGACTCCTCCCACTGCTCCCTCTGTTTCTCCCAAGCTTCATCTCCTCCCATATGGCTTCCAGTCTCCCATCACATGGAGCTGCCTCCCCCAGTTCATATGCCAAGAGACCTCCTTTGGCTACGACAAATTCCTCCTTAAAATACACGTTTCATGAACCACAGGCAGGCTGGTCTCCTCCCTGGCCCTGACTTTAGCCCCTTCCCATTGATCTCTTCTCTGATGTATCCTCTATATCTATGTCTGAACTAATCTGTAAGCTCCTTGGGACAGGGCCTTCTTCTGCCACAGACGTTTGCACTGCTCTGTAAATAACACACCCAACGGAACCCTGAAGATGGGCTCACTTGGAGAAGGTCTCATTGTCCTAAGCTCTGTTCAAAGGTGTGACAAACTGTGAGTCCTAAGAAAGCAGAACTAACAAGTTTACCCGAGGCTAGACATACATATTCAATTTTCTTACTAACTTTTACAGATCTCCGGCTGATGTTTCACCATTAGCTTAAGTGGACTCATTGTTTATGCCTTAATGTTCCTTTTCCTGACACCTGTATTCACCATTCCTTATTTCTGCTTAAAGGTACATACAGCATTTCTTTAATCCATTCTATTTTTACAATATAATTCATTCTACTTTCACAGGTGGGAATACAGGGAAAACTAGGTCAGAGTTAAAAGGCTTTCAAAGAACCTGATTAGCCAGTGATGACACAATGTACTCCTTCTCGCCAGCACTAATACGAGGGTGACATGAAGGATCTTCATAAACGAGAAGGAACCAGAACACACACCAAACGCAGCCAATGCCACCTATGGAGAAGGGGAACAGTTCAATGGCTCCTGTCTCGGATCTTACGGCAGCACAGGTGCGTAGATACCAACAGAGATGGGCAGGCAAGACACTGCAGCTCTGTGACCAACTGTCAGGTGTGAGGGTCTTGAAGGGAGGGGCAGGTTTGTTCTGCTGACTCATGCTGGCAGACAGACCAGGTGGGGCCCTTTAGTGCCAATCCACAGTATAAAAGGGTTTGTCCCCCCCCCCCTTGGGGGAAGGAGGAATTAGGTAGTTGAGGCAGGAATTTTTGCCTTAACACCAAACAGCTCAGGCTGTGGTTCATGTCTGGCTTTCCTTAGTGTGAGAAGGAAGGAAGTGCTGGACAGGGGAGAATTTGGGGCACTGCCCCTTTATATGTGTGTGCTGTGTGGAGGGGGGAGTGGGAAATCTGCCCAGTCACAGACCCCTCAATATGATGGTGCATTGCAAATGCCATAGACAGAGACCACTGACGTGGTGGAACACTCCTTCCTGTTCAAGGCAGCTGGAGGGGCTCTGCTGACTAACACATTCTGTACCTTATTGATGCCTATACTCTTATACTTTAAAATGAAAGGTGCCAGCCCGACAGCCCTGAGAGCTCTCATCCACAGAGTAGACACAACTCGGGCAGCAGCAACACAAGCCTCCTCCACACCGCCCAGCCAACGGACCTCCATCATGAGCTGAAGGAGAAAGAGGGAAGTCCAGCCCTTCTGGCTGGAGATGCTGATTGCGATGGTGGTCTCTCTGAAGGGAGACATTTCTATATTAGCAACTGGATTGAGAGCCCTGACTCCTCACATTGAGACAACGAGAAAACCTTCATACGCTTCGCTCTTGTGTGGCTTAACTTGCCAGTGAATCTGCTACAGTGGAAACCACGGCTACTCACCGAAGATGAAGAAGATGTAAGGCCACCCCAGGTACTGGCAGATGATCCCAGCTGCAGGGAAGGTGATGAAGGTCCCGAAAGTGCATCCTAAGGAGCGGATGAAGAGGAGTTCACAGCGAGGGGGTGATACAGTGGTGGCCACAGAAGATGACCTGGGCTTCCCAGTGCTTACCCCACACCATCCTATAGTAACTCTTCCTGCCCTATCAAGCCTAGGCTTGTGAAGGCTAGGGCTATAACAGGGTTTAAAAGAGACCTGGATAAATTCATGGTGGTTAAGTCCATCAATGGCTATTAGTCAGGATGGGTAAGGAATGGTGTCCCTAGCCTCTGTTTGTCAGAGGGTGGAGATGGATGGCAGCAGAGAGATCATTTGATCATTACCTCTTAGGTTCACTCCCTCTGGGGCACCTGGCACTGGCCACTGTCGGTAGACAGGATACTGGGCTAGATGGACCTTTGGTCTGACCCAGTACGGCCGTTCTTATGTAATCCAGAACTGAGAAGACAGGGTGGAGGAGAAGGTAGAGGTGATAAAGGATGAGGAGAGTGGAATATTGTGTAGGAAAGGGAGAAATAGCAGTAGAGAGGGATGTGCAGCCAACATTTCTTCATGAAGGACCTTTGGTCTAGAATCTGAAGGTTTCTGCAACTTGTAAGTGGAGCTGCTTGTCTGGAGTGTGGCGGAAGAAAAGGCAGCATCAAGAGAACTCGTCTTTACACAGGAGGGCGGGGGGCTGGGACTACAGGGAAAGTTGGTTTGGCAGCAAGGAGTCACTTTCTCTTACCAGCTTCAGCGAGGTTCATGAGCCTGCTGCGTTCCAAGGGGGGAGCCCATTTTGCCCAAAGCGTGTATTGGGCTGGAAATATCACTCCCTGCCAAGGAAAACACAGCAGTGCGTGAGCACAGAGGGGAGCGGGAGCTCTTGGAGCGATACCTGGGGAAAGCATTGGCAGACCTCATGATCTTTCACTGCTATGACCCTTGCTCCACCCTTCCCCCCACTTCGGTTTGTCATCATCCCTTGCTTGTACGCTCTTTGGGGCAGAATCCTGACTTGTTAACTTCTTCTGCAATGCCATGCATACAGAGGGGGCTGCACGCATAAACCCACAAGCCGCTGAGAGTCAAGAGCTCGAAAGGGAAGGTCCTACCTCTGCCATGCCCAGCAGTGCCTGCAGCCCAATGAGGTACGCTGCTCCCAGGCTAGCTGCCAGCGGCACGAGAAGGGTGAGAGCCGAGGTAGAGAGCAGCCCGTAGCCCAACACTAGCTTCCCTCCGAACATTCCCGACCAGTATCCGCCGAGGAGCTGGGTGAAGAGGTAGCCGTAGAAGAAGGCACTGAGGATGACGCCCTGGGTCTTAGCGCTCCAGTCGTACACGGGGGCCTGGAAGAGACAGAACTTGCTTGCATCAAATGGGGGAGACCAAACCGAGGACTGTGCCTTGAGGGGACACTGCAGCAGCTTTAAAACCCAGCCCAAGGGAGAACCATTCTCACAGGCCTGGACTCCTCCAGGAAGGGGTAAATGGCTTGTATGCACAGACCTGTCACCAGTCAGGTGACCGGCGCTCTCCTAATTACACTGACTCCTTCGTTTAAACACGCGTGCAGTGGATACAGCCCCAAAGCTCCTCTCTGAACAGCGCCTCATTGCTGCCGAGGTGGTCCACAGTGCAAAGCCAAGGGGTAGAGCCAAGTTGCTGGTGAAAGGATCTGGCCCTGCCTTTACACTTACTTCTTGGGCGAATTCTCGGTGGGAGTCATTGGGCTGAGCGTGGGAGCGATTGGGACACACGTCCGTGGAGATATTGGGCAGGCTGCCCGGGTTGGTGCCGTTCGTCATGGCTACGATGGCGATACTGAGATTGACCCGGAGTGAATACACCATGAAGAGGGAGAAGTGCAGGATGAGAGCCAGGCTGTAGCGAGCTGAGCAGAGGCCTGGGGTGGAGAACAACCAGAACAAGCCAGAGACGGTCAGGTAGGCTGCAGACTAACCCTGGAGGTGCCCCCTCACCCCTGGCTGCGAGGGATCTCCAGGCAGTGGCGCTGGAACAGTTTTTGGAGAGGGGGTACTGAGCTTCACCCCTCTTACGCCTGTCCGCGCCCTCACCGCCCCCTAGAGCTGGGGCCGGGAGCAGGGCTGTGGCTCTGGGAGGCGGGGACACGGACAAGGGTAAGGAGGTGAAGGCTGGGGCCACAGCTAAGGGAGGGTGCGGGGCCAGCAGCCGGGACCCTGGGGCTGGTGGCCAAGCAGGACCCCGGGCCAGCAGCAGAGCAAAATCTGGGCACCCCTACTTCCTGCACCTATGTCTCCAGGTAGCACCAACAGTCTTCTTATTTCAACCACAAACCATTCTCCTCAGAGTCTTACACCTTGGACAGGGCCGTCCAGACCCCACTGCCCACACAGCTTTACCCCAGGGCATCTCTGGCCAGACCAAACCTCCTGAAACCTCACTCTGCAGTCACCCAGCATCATTACACACACATCCCCCACCCAGTGAGGTGGGAGAGAATTTCCCCTTTGCTGTCTCCAGAGCAGGCCAGCCAGGTCAGGGCCAGGACTCTTGTTGAAGTAGAGAATTACTTCAGGGTCAGTGCTGAGAACTGGTCCAAGTCCCAGCCATCCTCTTTTCTGTTTGGCACTGATCTGGCATCCCTACTTTATCTACCCAGCTCCTGAAGAAACCCAAGAGCAGTTCAGGAGGGAGCACACACATTCCTGAGCACAGAGGGGACCATGTCCTTTCAGGAGAGGGTTCCCTCCCACACTAATAATCCACTTTACCAGCACTGATTAATCCTCACAAGCCCCTTGGGAGGGTGCTGAGCTTTACCATCCCCATTATACAGGGGGGAAAACTGAGGCACAGAGAGGGGACGTGACTTGCCCAAGAGTCAGAGCCAGAATTAGAACTCGGAAGTTCCTGGGTCCCAGTCCCATGTTCAGAGCACTACATCACACCTCTCATTACCCTCGAGTAGATTTACCTTTCCCAAGTGATAACTGTTGGTTGAGCAGAGGGGAAGCATCTTCCTGATCTGACTCTGGGCAGGCCTCTGCCTCGGCGTTCTCAGCGCTTTGCTGCATTCTCTCCTGTAAGCAAAGCTGACACCTAGTCCTCCTCCCGGGAGCGTCTCCACAACTTCTGAAACATGAAGAGTCTTAGACATGAGTGAACCAAAGGCACGGGGACCATCTCCTCGCTACCGACCTCCTGCAGTTCTTCCTACAATGCAATAAGCCCCATCGTGGGACTGCTGCAGGATTGTGGAATATGAATACTACCCATCTAGTGCAGACGGGACACATTTTAAGAACAATGTGATTTACAACGATATAAATCAACTTCTAGGCCTGGTCTTGTGTGGTCCTTCCTATTTTTGCCTTTGATCGTCACAGCCTCCCAGTGGGATAGAGAGCCCTATTTTCAACATGGCTGGATGCTGTTCCTTACTGCAGATATTCCTCACTGCTCAGAGAATAGCCTCCCCCTGCACCCACAATCAACCCTCACTCTGTATTCTGTAAACTAACGCTTGTTCCAGAGGGCAGCTGCCAAGCTGAAACATTCTTTGACACATAGAATAGAATCATAGAATGTCAGGGTTGGAAGGGACCTCAGGAGGTCATCTAGTCCAACCCCCTGCTCAAAGCAGGACCAATCCCCAGACAGATTTTTGCCCCAGATCCCTAAATGGCCCCCTCAAGGATTGAACTCACAAGCCTGAGCTATCCCTCCCCCCAATAAGCAGAGATCCTAGAAATCCATTTGCCGCAGAAAAAGACATGGAATGTGTGTTTTAACGGAGAATCTTTAGCTTTAACATTTTGTGAAAAAATAAAAACATATAGAGTGGGAACCCCGATTATCTGATCTGATTAGGGTGTCCAGACAGCAAGTGTGAAAAATCAGGATGGGGTGGGGGGGTAATAGGAGCCTATATAAGAAAAACCCTCAAATATCGGGACTGTCCCTATAAAAATCGGGACATCTGGTCACTCTAGATCTAATTGAGCCTGGGGCCAAATTGGGTAATCAGAAAGTTGGATAATCAGGAGAGCGGGCAGGACTCCGGCTGTCAGCCCTGGGCAGCAAGGCTCAATTTGTCAGCTAAAATATTGTAAATAATCAATAAAACATTGCGTTCAACTGATACCTATATATATATATATATATTGTGGTTAGGGAAGCTAAAGTTCAGTATTTCATTTTAATAGCGGGAAAACATGGATTTTTATGGTTTTTGATCAGAGAATTTTGGTTTTTTTAATCAGGGAAAACTAGGATCCCTGTAGATAAGTAAGATGTGCTAGGAGCGGAGAATTGCCGTGACAAAGAGAGAACCCTCCCAGACTAAAATTCCACCTACAACTACATAACTGGGCAGCTTCCCCCCACCCCAAAGTGAAGCAGATTGTCCCTGATTTTCTGAATTAACTGCAACTTCTCTAGCAATCAAATCCAAACAATCAACTCACAGATGAAGCAGAAGCAGAAACCTCCTCTTGTTTTTCAATATAGGGTGTGGGAATTCATTCCTGCAGGGATGCCACGAATTCAGATTGGGAACAAAGTGTGAGTCACGTGAGAGGCAAGCCATGTGACAAAATAAGTTTGGCAAACACCAGCTGTGCTATTTAACTCCTTAGTAGGCCACTGACACCTGGTTTTTAAAATCATTTTAGATTTAAACTGTTAGTAAATTGGAGATGGATGATGAAACAATGTTTCGCCACCATTAGTTAAGACAAGGAACAGCCCTATGGGGTACCTATTATCCCAGATTTAGTGGAGGAGAAATTAAGTGATATGCCCAAGGCCACAGAAGGAGGCTGTCTCTGCCTACCATTGTGGTACTTTAGAGCTAAATTTGTTGGCCAGTCTTGGGTTCTCCTAGAACTCTTCCTGTCTACACACACATATAAGTAGCCTTTAAGTGTGAAAACAGACTATGTGAAAATGGGACCTTCTTCATTAGAACTGCATGTATTCAGTCATAGCTACTTACTGTGATGACTAGCAGGGACTCTGCTGGCCACACGTTGCTCTCAGTGACACTTGAGCAACCCCAGGGCTGCTAGTATATTTGTACAGGTGTAGCTGATTGGAACCCCGTCAATCACCCAACTTATGATATACAAGAAGCTCCCTCTCGCTGATGACTGGCTGCTAGCGTGTTTCTAATGGGTTTGCAGGGCACTGGCAGCCATGGAGAGGCAGTTTTAATAAACATAAGTCTAACTCAATAGGGGATTCAGGCTCTTACAGAAGTGGAGATAGCGTTGGGGTTGGGCAGGGACATGCAATGGGATGAGGGGCCTGGTCTGCATTAGGGCTGGAATCCCAGCAATCCCTCAGCCGCCTTTTTACTCATCTGTATGTGCCCTCCCTTGGGCAGGGGCTGAACAGTCTTGGGGGTGTGGGTATGTGTCTATTCACCCTGGTACTGGCCTGCTCCTCTTCTCCTGGTGATACATCACTCTGAAATCAAAAGGCACTTTCCCTTATCTTGCTGTCAAATCACACGGAGGACAGCCTCTGCCCCCATGGCCACTGCAGCCCCCTCTTCCCCTGGCTCCATCATCTCCCCTCATCATCCCCGGTTACTTCTGCAGCCCCCTCTCCCCACGGCTCTATCACCCTCCGACCCCCATTGCCCCTCCATCCCTGCTGCCCCTCCCCAATGGCTCCATCAGCTCCCCTTTCCTCCCATGACCTCTGCAGCCCCCTCTCCCCATGGCGCTATCACCCTCTGACTCCCACTGCTGCCCCATCACCCTTGCAGCTCCATCCCCTCATGGCTCTATCTCCCCTCATCATCTCTGGTGACTTCTGCAGCCCCCTCTCCCCACGGCTCTATCACCCTCTGACCCCCATTGCCGCTCCATCATCTCCCCTTTCCTCTCATGACCTCTGCAGCCCCCTCTCCCCACGGCTCTATCACCCCACTGGCTCCCACTGCCCCATCAACCCCTGTGACCCCTTGCAGCCCCCTCTCCCCATGGATCTATCACCCTCTGACCCACATTGCCCCTCCATCCCCGCAGCTCCCTCCCCCCATGGCTCCATCAGCTCCCTTCCTCCCATGATCCCCTGTGACCCCTGCAGCCCCCCAGTCCAGGGCGCCCCTCCACAACCAGCCTCCTCCCAGCTGCCCCGCCCACTCTCGGCCCCAGAGCCCCGCCCACCCGCTGCCGGATCATGTGACAATCCAAGATGGCGACGCTCAGGCTCGTGCCGGTGGCGCTGTTCACCTGCCTGCTGGTCGGCGGGCGCTGCTCGGGGCAGCGCGCGGGCCCGGTGCCCCTGGTCATGTGGCACGGGATGGGTGAGTGCAGGGGTGAGGCCGCCGCGAGGCTGGTGCTACCCCCCCCCAGGTGCAGTGGGGGGCGGGTTGGGAAGGGGGCGCTGCAGGGCTGAGGGCGGGTTATAGGTCTGTTGCTGCCCCGCCAAGGGATGCAGGGGTGGGGGGGTCAGGCTGATGCTCTCAGCCCCAGGACTGCAAAGGGAGGGCCTGGGGGCCCTTGTCTGACCAGCCTCCCCGCTCTTATTCCCCCTCCCCGCCCCCAAAGAGGAAGCTGGGGGCGGAAGCGGTGTTTCCGTGCACTACGAGCCTCCTGTGCAGTGCAGCCTTTGTAGTTCTCCGCGGTGCTTTTCACTACTTCCCTGCTGGATCTCTCACTTCCCTAATCCCAGCTGCTGGTTTAGAGACGGTGCCTGTGTGCAGAGCGTGCTTGCCTTGAGAGATCTTGGGATCTTACATGGGGAGGGTGGAAAGCAGGTTATTAGCCAGTGTGCGCACAGGTCCAAACAAGCAGCTGTGCTCTCTGCCCTAGTGACTTCACTTTTGGCCACATTTCAGATTGCCTGGAATAAAAAAAACAACCCACATTCATCACATGACTCTCATTTAACTGCCAGGAGGGTGATACCACAGTGCAGGCAACACCCTTTCCTTGTGAAATGGGGGATGGAAGAAAGCGAAGTAGTGATAGATGTGTGGGAAGTTGGACTGCGAATGAAGGATCAAGGTGACTTCTAAAGAGTTGAACTACTCTGATGCCCAGCACCCTTTGGGAGAGTTCCCTACTCAGTTATCTTCAATTTTAGGCCCTGTCTACATTATGAATCACATTTAAACATGGTTGTGATCCGGTCATGTGCTTTCTTTTTGCCTGCAGTTTCACAAACCAGTTTTAACGTGGTTATGTTTTGTAGCACTGGCAGGATTTTAAATAAACACCTTGATAGCTTGTTTACAAATATCATTATCCCCACTTTTCAGATGGCAAAACTGAGGCAGGTCTCTGGTACAGCTGGGGAATCCAGACTCCCAGTCCAATGCCCTCTCCATTTGATCATGTTGCCTGCATTTTTTCTTATTACCTGAGATGATAAGCGTTGTAAAGGATAGTTCAACCTAATAATAGTAATAATGCTTATTGCTTTTACAAACAGTAAGTAATCCTCACAACATCCTTGTCTAGATATTAGCCCTGTTTACAGGGAGACTTGGGCACAGAGAGCCTTGCTCAAGGCCTTAAAGAAAGGCAGTATAAGAGCCTGGACAGAAATTAGGTTTGGAAGGATTAGATTTGTATTGGTAAGTGTTGGTAGACACCTATTTCACTGTATGCACAAAAACGGACGAAAAAATATTTCCATAAATGAGAACTAAAATTTACAGATAGACAAAATAAGAAAAATGCTGCTTTGGAACTTGTTAGAGATTGAAGGGTATTTATCTGGTATATTTTGACATGTTGACACTTGGTTTTAATGGTTATAAAGCTTTAATTTCGGAATCTCAATGTCTGTCATTAACTGATTGACCGTCTCCAGTTGTCTCTCCCCCCCCCCCATAATTTTGCACAACTGTGAACATTTAAATGACTAAAGATCTAAAAAAAGCTTAAAAATAAACAACGACATTGGTCAAAATTATATATACAAAAATTGAATTCTGCCACACTCAATTCATATGTAGGAGTTCCTAGCTCCCAGGCCTCAGCTTGCACCACTAGACTATGCCTCTGGAAGTGTCTGGGCCAAAGATACCACAAATAAGATATTCCTGTGGGAGCAGGGTACTGAACCTCTGTAGCATCGTGTATAGACTGTTTTGTATTCAAATGGTAGTTCAGTCAAAATGGAAAGCATCCATAAGGATGGGAATAAGGGAAAGGCCTGGAAGGCTGGGTGAGAATTCAGCGTCCATGCTGGCTTTAATATTTTGATAGTCTAAATCAATGTCATGAACTTATTAGCAAGAAAGTGAAAGGAGGCCACCATGGGCTGGAACCAGGAAGTGCATTCAAATGGTTCATTTACAGAGGAGGCTTTGTGCAATGAGCGTGAAAATTTGCTGCTTTGACACTTGACAAAATGCATGCTGCTTTCCCTGGTGAGGTTGGAAGTTTGGTATTCAGCACCTCAGCCATCAAGTGTGCGATGGTTTTATGATGTTTGATGAAAATGTCCCTTATCCTTTTTGCAGGAGACAGCTGCTGTAACCCTGGAAGCTTAGGATACATTAAAAAAATAGTGGAAAATAAAATACCAGGAATTTACGTTCTGTCGCTACAGATTGGACACAACGCGGTAGAGGTAAAGTCACAGTTATCCTATGTAAAGCTTCTGTTTTCATTGAGTATTTCTGGTTAGTGATCACTGTGCACTCTTAAAGGTGCTGTAAATAATGTCCAGTCTCTGCTTTTGACGTAGATCCATAAAGACACAGACAGAGCTTTCACTATTACCTTTTTACTGTATCAAACATCTTTGTCTTGGAGAAACTGACTAAGTCTAGTTAATCACATGTTGAAGAAAACTAGGGATGTGACAAATCCCTGATTCAAATTGGATTCATACCCAAACCCACTGATTAGTGTTTTGAAACCTCTACGGCAGGGGTGGGCAAACTGCGGGCCGCATCCAGACGTTTTAATCCGGCCCTTGAGCTCCCGCTGGGGAGTGGGGTCTGGGGCTTGTCCCGCTCCAGCTGGGGAGCAGGGTTGGGGCCACTCTGCGTGGCTCCTAGAAGCAGCGGCATGTGCCCCCTCCAACTCCTATGCATGGGGCAGCCAGGGGACTCCGCGCCCCATGCTGCCCCTGCAGCTCCCATTGACCGGGAACCGTGGCCAATGGGAGCTGCAGAGGCAGCACCTGCGGACAGGGCAATGCGCAGCAGAGCCGCCTGGCCATGCCTCTGTGTAAGAGCCGGACGGGGGACATACTGTTGCTTCCGGGAGCAGCCTGCACCCCGAGCCACCCCTCCATGCCCCAACCCTGATCCCCCTCCTGCACCCCAAACCCCACCAGCCCCAGCCCAGAGCCTACACTCCCAGCCAGAGCCCTCGCCCCCTACACCCCCTGCCCCAAGCCACCTCCCACACCTTGAACTCCTCATTTCTGGCCCCAGCCCAGAGTCCACACCCCCTGCCAGAGCCCTCACCCCCTCCTGCACCCTAGCCCCAATTTTGTGAGACCCGCCATACAATTTCTATACCCAGATGTGGCCCTTGGGCCAAAAAGTTTGCCCACCCCTGCTCTACAGCTATTAGCTATGTGATGAGGTCCCATGCTTTTTAAGGGAGATATTTGTCCCTTCCTATTTATTAAGCTAAGCGCATGTTTTTATTTAAACTCTCATTTTTATATTGTGTTTTACTAGT